ATTTACAGGCCGGCCAGGCTGTCCTCATCTCATGTAATTCTGACATGAAACTCACGAGGGCGCCAGTTGTCAACCTCAATGAATAAATGAGGAATTAAGGTCAGAGAGGTTGGAGATTATCAATATTCCCTTGAAAAAAAGAAAATGTAGCAGCAAACAGGGTGGGTGCTCAGGCCTGCTGGACCCTAAAACTCCTGTCTGACCTCTCGCATACATCCACACTCCAATGTCTCTTAGTGAACAAATGAACAAATTATCTCTGACACCTTCATTAATGAGATAAGGCGGAATCAGGTATTAGGGATAGTTTAGGTCCAAGTGCTCCTGACAGCAGCTCCTTCCGTATTTTCACAGTCATCTTCTCTATTTTACAAACACTAAATGCAGCCATTCTTCCAAATGAGGGGAAATAAATAGACTGCCTCATTCTTTCCCTGCATTCTAAGTGTCTTCTGAGAAAAACTGGCATAAGAACATGGCCATTTGGATGTCTGCTATTTGTTCTGCCCAACCTCTTTTAAGCTTGTTTTACAAAAAAAAAAAAGAAAAGAAAAAAAACAAAAAAAAAAAAAAGAAAAAAAAAAAAAAAAAAAAAGTCAGCACCAAAAAAGTCAAGTGAAAGTCTGGAAAAGGATGGTTGTAAAGAGCAAACATGTGATAAGCAAACCCACGCTGCTGCAGATGTCAGAGGAGAACAAAGGGAATTCACGTTCACCGGGATTTACGAAACCTTTATGATCAAATTTAAGTCGCTCTGTTTATTCTTCACTGACCTTCCGCGTGCAGCCTGTGACTCATCGCCCGGCACACGTGCACACCAGACAAGTCTGTGCGGCCCCGAACCCCAAGCACTCCTGCTTTCCGCACACTGAAACAGGTAGAATGTCTGATGAAAACTCCTGATTAAGGACATATGAGTAACTCACGGGAAGTGACTGAGAGATTTTTGTCTGAGAAAACAAAACAAAACATTCTCTCCCTAGAACAGAAACAAATGTTTAAAATGTAGGCAAGAGGCGGCCCGGTTTTCATTCTGAGTTAGTGAGCACAAGCTGACCCACATAAGATACATTTATTCAAAAAGCGAAAGGCATCCAGTAAGGACCAATGAGAGGGTTGGACAGATGAACAAGAAGCAGTTTCCTGCTCTCAGTGGACCACAGATTAGTTCACTGCTATGGTCAGTAATCAGACCGTGCAAGCCAATTTACTCTCCTGTTTCAGCTGGAGGCAAAATCCAAATCTAATAACTTCCAGATTTATCAGTCTCACCACCTAATGGTTATCAGGTCCTAAAATGATCTGTATAGCACAGGGGAATAAAAACCTAGTTATGGACCCATGGCAGAAATGGAGCTTGAGTGAAAAAGAATTAACTAGCAACCTAAAACTGGAGATCTACTTGTCTGTCTTTAATATTATACAGTGCTTACCATACGCCAGGCACTATTCACAGTTATAACGTAAATCATTTAAGCTTCATAACATATTAAAGTAGACACTAGTACTATCTTTATTTTATGGATGAGAAAACTGAAGAACAGAGAGACGAAGTTAGCTTGGCCAAGGTTACAACTAGTCAGTAGCAGAGCCTCCAACAAAAATAGAAGCCACACAAACCGACAGTCTGAATTGCACAGAAACTCTCGAAACCTGTATTTCCAGGCCTGGCTTAGAAGTTAAATGTTTGCTCGATGTAGTCCATTTTGTGGTTTCATAGGCCAGCCCTCAATGGAAAATATTTCTCCCAATTAGAAAAAATAAACTGACTTCTGGATTGCCCAGGAAGTGAATAATTTAGAGGTTTCTATCTTCTACTTTTTAAAAAATAATAATTCCTGTCTCAAAGGTCATGAGTCCCGAATTCTGAAAGCTCAAAGTCTAGACAATCTCACAGTTACCAGCACGGAAGGACCTCACGTTCATTTCTGGCCCCTGCCCTAGGGCAGGACCCTGGTGCAGGCTGTGAAGACTTCAGCATCTCCACCCTCATGAGATGAGCCAGACCCTCTCACTCCCCCTCATGAGATGTTAACACAAAGCAACGAAACTCTCTAATTCTCTGATACTTTTGATGAAAACATCACGACTAGGACCCAACTTACTGTGATCCCTTCAAGCAACCGACTTGGGAATATCAGCGAAGTCGCCAACTGCCTACAAACATGCCTGGAAGCCTTTTTTGGAAAATACCTTCAGAGTTGCTTAATAACCTCCCACGTAACTCAGCGCCCTGACTCAGTACCCCACTGCATGTTAAGACCCGAGCCTGTCAAAGGTACACTTCCCTCACCCAACTCACCTCTAAATGGCCTTTCACTAGTCCCAAAAATTCTACCTTTGAAGATGAAGTTGACCTAACATGCCTAAGAGGCATGTTTCATGGTTATCGAAAATAGTATTTGAGCAATATAGTTGGACTAGCTACGAAAATTTAGAAGCCACCTTGCTCTGAAGAAGACAATAGTCACTTGGAAGTATGGGTTGTTGATACGTGTTGAAATATCAGTATCTTTTCTGTCTAGCCCTGTCTTAGACTTTGGTATGACCCCTGCTGTCTCAGCCACCCTTCCACACTATGCTCCTAAGATTTCCTGACTGACTAGAAGGAACAACAGGAAGAGAAGGTTCCTGTCTCTCCAATTTATGAGACTTTCAGACAATTCTTGATTATCCCAGTACAGAGACAATGTTTAAAATATATATATAAGCTATTCATATTATGAGATACCATCAGAATATCTCTGGCATGTTTATTTGTGGTAAAAGGACCTAAATAAAATTATTTCTGTCTATGGCCATGCTACCCTGAACAAACCCAATCCTATCTGATCTCAGAAGCTAAGCAGGGTCGGACCTGGTTAGTACTTGGATGGGAAGACCAGATGCGGTAAGTGTAAAAAATAAAAATTAAGGGATTATAAGCTGACAAAGTCCTTGCAATCTGTGAGGTCAACCAAGGGTTGCCTCGCCTAAAAAAGAAAAAAAAATTATTTCTGTCACCCATGCAGATGATGTCTTTAGTACAATACATTGGTCAAACACACAAGCTAAAGGAAAAAAACAAAATAGTTGTTCAACCTTTGTTAGCACTCATGTCTGATATTTGGGCTGCTTCTTTGCTTAACAAGTAGGAACATTCTTAAGACCAGAAAGTTATGAAAGACAGAAAATATCCAATAACAGAAAGGATTTGCAATGATATCTGGTGAATGCCATGGATCCCCTCCAACATGGTACGAAAGATAACACT